GAGTGTCAGTTACCTTTATAGGAAAAAAAAGCTATACTGGCTTTACAGTAGTCTTTTAGTTTGCATTTTTATGGTGGAGAACAGTCAACTAGACCTGTTCCTAGAAATACAGAAAGTTTTTTCTACTAATTGCTCAGAGCAGGGTACAGCAGCATACAAAGACCAGTTAAAAAATTGAAATAAAATGGTTTTGAGCAGCTCTGCTCCACCTTCTTGACCAAAAAAACCCCCACCAACAAAAAAGAGAAGCATCAAACTCCACATCAAATATCCCCCAAATGATCCACTCAGGGTTATATTGCTTATTTTTCACCATCCTCATATTCAAGCAGGCTTCCCTTTCTGGCTTTTCAGATCTCTTATGACACTGTGGAGGCCCAAATGAAACTATTAGGGTTTCTAGGAAGGGTTGGATTAATTCTTTGATCTCAGCTGGACGTAGGCTGCAGAGTGTAACTTTACTGAAACTACTAATAAGGAGCATTTCCCTTGATCTCACCCAAAGAAGAATTTCACCTGAAGGCAGGGCATGCAGAATGGCATTCACAAAAAAAAAGGCATTTTGAAGGTCTATAACGTATTTACTGTATTATACAGCTCAATTGTATGTTGCGCATCCATGAAACAACATGTTTAGCAGTTTTCTTGTCCCACTTGTTTTTAGATAACAAATTATGTTTGGAGAATCCTCCTCTCATGCTAATTAATAGACTACACCAGCCTGTGTATATGTTACCTGCTAAATTAAGGACTGTATTTTTCTTATCTCTCTCTTACAGCACATTCATCTGAGGCTGGAAAGCAACACCCAGTCTTAACAAACCTAAAGCAAAGCTTAAAGTTCAACCTTTCCTAATCTGCCATGGCTGTTGGAGGTCATAAGGATCTCAAGTCTGACCTTGCAGAACATGTATGAGAGTGACATTTCCTCTCCCTCCCCACAAATGGATGAGCCCTCTGCACATGTATCAAGGAGACAAAAGAGCAACAGTCAAGGTCTTTATGATGTCTGAGGATACTTGTATTCCAAAATGTTCATTTAAAACCAGCAAATCTCTGGCTGGATTCTATTTTGCAAGTAGCAATAAGTCATATGATAAATTACAAGTTAAAGTTGAATACATCAGTGCACAGTCCTTAACATAAGAGAATTAAAGGGACAATTTAAGAACTTTATTATTGGTGTCATAAACTCACGTCAACACTCATTGGCATCAGAGAGTATTTCCAGACCTACCTGTTCAAGTTTAAAGATGTGTTGGTTAAAGTAGTGCTGCAAGCGCTCGTTGGCAAAGTTAATGCAGAATTGTTCAAAACTGTTGTTTTCATAGTCTTCAAACCCAAAAATATCAAGTACTCCAATAGACAGAGTCTGCAGGAAAAGTAAGAATGAGGATTAGAAACAAATTCACAGAAAGTAAATAGATTATTTGTACATAATCAGAAGCTTACAGATGGAATTAAATATACTTAACAGCTGGACTTTTAATTTTTACTGGAATTGCCAGTATTATGCCATGGGGAAGATTTCACCTATATCAGAGACACAACATGGAACTGCAGATATCAGGACAGATGGCCTTTTTCTAAAAGATAAGTAATTTAAGAGTTGGGGTTTTCTTTAATTTATAGATAAATTGCCATCTTTGAAGAAACCTGAACCCAGTTCCAAGTTATTCTATTGGATCTAAGACAGTACTTATCTTTTGAGGGGAAAAATGGGGATAGGGTTGGGAAAAAAAGGTTTGCACTATGAAGACAGTCCACAGAAACACACCTACAAGGTGAATACAGGGTGTCTAAGCAAACATGCTCCAGCTGCAAGCCTCCCAGAGAAATACCTTCGGGTGTTGGGAGCATGGTGTGTTGGGAGCACAGTAGGGTTTGCAGGAAAATAATTCATTGCAACAAAGGAAAATAAGTCTAGAGTTGCCTTGAACGAAGGTCTCTGTGCAGGGAAGGGAACCAGGCCTCATTTCCCATGGATGCTGTCTCAGAGCCCCAGGTTCTGGCACCAGGACACCAGAAATGCTCTACAAGACCAGCCCCACACTCCTCCTAGCCCAGCATCTCCAACCATGGCAGCAGGACATCCCATCCGGTGTGACGGATGCACTCCTCCTATTTGAACTAACTGAACGCTGGTCAAGGCAGACACTCAGCAAGCAGCCTGAACTGAAGTTAATCCTATTGTGTGAGGCTATCAGGGAGAACTCAGCACCAACCCCCTGAAAAAAACAGTTTAGCTGGACACGGGGCTGGTAAGTGGCTGAAAATGCATTAACGTGGAGACCTCAGAGCAGCGCTCCAGTACCTGAAGGGGACAACAAGGATGCTGGAGAGGGACTCTTCAGCAGGGACTGTAGCAATAGGACAAGGGGTAACGGGTTCAAACTGAAATAGGGGAAGTTCAGGTTGGAGATAAGGCAGAAGTTTTTCCCTGTGAGGGTGCTCAGTTGCTGGCACAGGGTGCCCAGAGAAGCTGTGGCTGCCCCATCCCTGGCAGTGTTCAAGGCCAGGTTGGACACAGGGGCTTGGAGCAACCTGCTCTAGTGGAAGGTGTCCCTGCCCATGGCAGGGGGTTGGAGCTGGATGGGCTTTAAGGTCCCTTCCAATCCAAACCAGTCTGGGATCCTATGATTCTCTGAACACAGCAGAAAATCTGATGAAAAATCAGCGACTTTACACTATAAATATCTGCAGCCATCAGGGCCCATTGAGTTCTCCTCCCCATAGCAGCTGGCCATGTGGTGGTGGTGATCTCCCCTTGAGCAGGGATGCCTTTCAAAGTTACCCCTCGAGACTGAGAGATCCCTGACCTGACACCAGACATTGATGGGCTGCTAAGTGACATTTTCTGAATGCATGTGACACTTAAGATAAATAGAATTAACTAGGTTGGAAAAGACCTTTAAGATCATCAAGTCCAACATTTACCCCAGGACTGCCAAGACAACCACTAAACCATGACACGTGTTTTTTGACCACATACAGTAAGCTTAAGTGATAATCTTCATATCCCATACTAACTTCAGGAGTAGTAAATAGTAATGCCCAGCGATGTATCTGTACTTACTAAGTATTTTACATCCCTAAATTTACTGATTAGAGATCAATAAACTAACTTCTAGCTCAGATCTGCGTGATCTCTGATTTCTCCTGCAACACCTGAGTATGTCAGCACGGCTCTTCCACATTCTGCCACCCTTTTCTACCAGCACCCACAGTTTTGGGATGAGGGAGATGAGGAGGCTCCTCTGTGAACCCTTTAGTTTGTGGGCAAGAGATGTGTGAAGAGTTACTCATCCAATTTTGTTTTGAACCCATTGACACTATTGACACTATGATCCCTCCCAGCCTATCAGGCCACCTTCTAGGAGTTCACGATACAGGTGTGGGTTTACTAAATCAGACCCTAATGACAAAGATTTGGCGAGTTACAGTTCTAAATCGACTTTTTTTCCACCTGACGATTTCGTAAACCTCCACCATATCCCACCCCACCTTTTCTCCGTACTGAAAAGCTAAAGCCTGTTTGGTCTCTCCTTTAACCTACAATGACCTCAAGATGCTCATCAAGATGTGGGTGCACCAAGGTTTTCTATATGTGAAAAGCCCGAAGGACACATGCACAGAGAGCTCCACCAGCAGTTCTTAGTGAACCGTGCTCCAGGGTCTAACCAAAGCCACCTCACACATACACAGGTTCTGCTCATACCTTACAATTAATTAAATAAAACATTAAGTGAGGTAAAAGCATTACCACTGGTCAGATGAACCAAACCTCAAGAAGGAAGCAGAAACACCCCCTTTTCTCCACCTCAGAAGAACCTGAGAGCTGACGGGCACTCTGGTTTTAATTTTACTGGTCTTATCTGCACTCTGGATTACCTAAAATGACCTTCCTAAGACCAGCTTAACTGCACCACCAGAAATACAAACCAGACTATCCAGAAGTCTTTCTTATGCTGCAGTTCATCTGTTTTCAACAGATCAAGTAATGTGGGAGGAAAATATTCCTTCTGTGCTCAAATCGCAACCAGGGAACCACCTACAGCTGGAACAGACCCAGCAGCTGTGGGCAGAGCAGCCACCCAGCTTGTGAGTTGAAGCTGGGTATGATCTGGATTTTGGCTAATAGAACAAATGAAAATAAAATTGAGAAAGCACAATAAGACTCCCACCCATTTTCCCAAGAGGTCTTTGGCTACTTTATCCTTCATCCAGGCTTTTCTCCCCACTCCAGGGCTGGAGAGACTCTACCTCCTTTACCCCACCCATGACATGACATGGATGACTACTGAAGGTCCTTGGCCAGCTTCCTACAAGTTTGCATCACTTGGCAAAACACCCATGAGAAGCAGCTGTTTGACCAGAAGATGGAAATTGGAAGCCACTGGACCAAGAACTGAGAGTGGCAGAGGGATCTGCTCTCACTTGCTGCTTCCTAAAGGTCAAACTTCCTTCTCCTGCTTGTCCCAGTGAACGTGGTAACCCTTTTATTCACAGATACATTCATAAATGACACCCTAACAAGCAGAAATCTTCTACTTCCTCTTTTTTGTTGGTTTATTTTTACTAGAATTCTTCTTAAACGTGTTGTATAGTAGCAGTTCATCTTTTATCTATGTTATACATGGAAAAAGCGATGATGGAAACAGGATAAAGTGCCTTTTCTCATCCACAATGTGTAAGCAAATCCCCACTGCCGTGCAAGTTTTTCCCTACAATCCACAAGAGCTCCCTAAAATTACACTACATAGAAGTCTCCACTGCACTACATAAAAGCAAGACTTAGAAAACAAAACACTCAAGCTTCCAGAATCCTTATGGAATTACCAGAGTTGTCTGTGGAACAGTCAAGCCCCTGCCACTGAACGTAACTCAATATAAAATAGCTGAGCACAAAAATCCTTCCCCCTTTTCTTCAATAATGGTTCGTTTACTGTGTTGAAACTGCCACAAAATGTATTTTAATGTCTGCATGAAAATACATTTACAAAGCAAAATAGAAAAGTTTTATATAGAAAAACATCTGCTATTTCAGTTAGAAAAGAATTCTATTCAAATGATATTTTAATGTTGTCTTTTCATTTTTTTTTTTTTTGCTGGCACTTAAAATCAAACAAGCTCCAACAGGTAAAATGCACAGAACTACAAAACTGTTGGGTTTCTGCAGAGTTTCACACTTAAATTAGGGCAGAGCTCTGCAGAGAATCAAGTCTTTGCCCTCTGTCATGGGAGGCAGCATCACAGAGTTCCCAAAATAAAGAGGTCAATGCATGCAAGTTGTTAAAACTGTTAAAAGTGAGAAATTGGGAATTTATGGCTATTTTCTGCTTTCTGGCCAAAAAAATCTCATAGCACCTATGCAAAAGGGTCATAAAGCAGCACAGATCTACCTGTACAGTCATTTCTTACAGTGAAGTGAAAAAACCTTCTTTCTATTGAGGTATGTGATAATGAAATTATTTTGTTAACCTGCTTGACCAAATCCACACCAAACCTCCTGTAATTTAAAGTGTAGGTCTACAAGGATCTTTAAAACCTGGGTGAACACTGGGTTAGTGAGTACTTTCTGCTTGAGATGACGAAGAGTGACCTCATGCTCTGCTAAAAATGTCGCAGCCACAATATTCAAACACCGAGCATGAGTTTTAACAGCCCTTGGCAAATGATGGTCTCAAAACTATGTGCTCCCCAATTCCCAAACCACCAGTAAATTGCATTTGGTTGAACTGATTTATGTCACCCCAGATGCATCCTGCTGATGTCATTCCACCACGGAGGTAGATCTTGGCAATCACAAATAGGTTTGCTTCAAATTCCGGGGGAAAACATTTTTTAAATGTTATTTTTGTATTTTTAAACTTTTTAAATTTTTTTAAATAATTTTTTACAATATTCTAAAACCAACACTGTAAAAAAACCCACCCAAACCACAAAAAAAACCCCAACCCAAAATCCATCACTACTAAATCTGAAAGGACTATTCCAATTTAGATCATCACAATGTATAAGATGACCTATTCTATAAAGTGAGAAGCAGTGATTTGCTACAGATTTGGAAATTGAGACCTAAAACTAATGAACAGATGTGCACTAAATCCGTTGGGTGTTCAGCAATACCTCTGCTTCGGGTCAGAGAGCCAATAATTAACTAGTTGATCAAATTTAAATAAATTTTCTTCATGGCCACGAACTCTTCATGAATTCAAGCATGAATTTTCTTCATGGGCATTGATTTAGATGAATTTTCTTCATGGCCATGAATTCACATTTACCATCATCGCTACATAAAGCAGCACCTCATCTGAAAACAGCAGCAGGGTTGTTTAGGAAGAAATTAAAACACTTCACAAGAAACAAATGGGAAAAGCTTAAAACAAACCTTGGAAAAAATCCTTTTTAGTCCACTACAATCTACACTGTATCAACATTTTAAGCAATGAGATGGTCTTCTAGCAGTACTTAACCTAATTTATGGAAGGGGAATTAAATAAGAGACTCTCTGAGGTTTAGTAATCTAGTTCTCAAGAGGAGGAAAAGTCTCCAACCTCATTAACAAAGGTCAAATTTCAGTTTGCAGGGGATCACGAGAACACCAAAGCTAAAAGTGATAGAGAGAAGACCAGGGAAACAGAGTCGGAGTAAAAGCGATGCACAGCAGGACTGCTATGAGAATAAAACAGCCATATCAAGTAACTTATTCACAACTCAGTTCAGAAATAATATGCTACAAATCCTGTCAGCAACCAAGATAAGACAAATCCCACTGTGTTTTCCCAAAATAATTCATTGAACATTTAACTAAATTTGGATATCAAAGGTCTGATTTACATCTTCCAAATACTTGCTTGAAAAGCAGTGGAAGAATGATGGCCGGGTGTTTATATTTTTTACCCAGCTTCATCTTTTGATCTTCTCCTTGCTGCTGACATCAAATAAACACACATATTGGGATATGAAAATTGTCTCCATTCTCATTGTCCCAGGTTCTCCTAGGATTTGGACTTTGTTAAAATCTAGGTCATCTCCCACCTGTCACCAAACCACCCAGTCAGTCCACCAGAAATTAAATAGGTTTAACTAGATATAAACAGTCTCCTCACCAAATCAGTCTGCACTGATGAATCCACCACCAGTTTGGATGAGCATGACTTTGGTCAATGAGGTTGTCCTGTGTGGCTGGGGCAATACTGCTTTGCCCCAGCAACAGGACTTTGCTGGAGCAAAGGTGGCTGCACATGTTTCCACCGTGCAGAGCTCTCAAACCCTGATTTCACGTGTGTGCCTCACGTGCATCTAGAAGTATTTGTCATCTCCTGCAGCCTCCAGCCTTCATGTCATAACCCTTGACCACTCAAGGCCAGGTTGGGCACGGCTTGGAGCAACCTGCTCTAGTGGAAGGTGTCCCTACTCATGGCAGGGAGTTGGGACTGGGTGAGCTTTAAGGTCCCTTCAACCCAAACCATTTTATGATTCTATGATATGATATTAATTTTTCTCATCAACTTCAGATGCAGTTCTCCTCCCATATACACTCTGAATTCAGATGGTTTGGGGTCTTATTTTACTTCTGCATAACATGATTGTCATGTAAGAAAGCCATCTGCCAAAAATCCATCATTTAACCACCTTCTGAACCTTTAGGATTATTTCAAAATCCACCTGAAAAGTCAGAGGAATAGTGGTGGCAAGAGTGGACTGGGATTAAGCCAGGACATTTGCTGCAGGGTGAGTTGCATGTTGCTCATCTGCTGCAAACTCAGGAGTCAGGAACCTTTCATAGTGAGGTGCAAGACTGTATTTCTCTATTATAAATCAGAGATTTGGTGTGTTCAGGAGATTTTTGTGGAGGGAGCTAGCAGATGCCAGCAAGTAGATGTCATCCAAGTGCTGAGATCTTGCCTTACATCAAGGACCTATTACAAAGGTCCAGAGACACCCCTTTTCCTAGTCCACCTTCCAGTTACTTGCTGGTGTTGCCCAACTCAAAACCACATATAGGAGGTTAAGAACCACCTCATTTGGGGTCCTGCAAGCAGGAGCTGTAAAGAATTTCAAGGACTGTGAAGTGGTAGGAAACCCCAAATTAATCATCAGCTTGGTTCCTCCAGGGCAGAGAAGGGCAGTAGATGTGGGCTGGTGTCCCAGCAGCAGCTGCAGAGCCCAGGCTGCCCTCAGCTGCTTGTTGGTAGTGATGTTATTCTCTGAGGGCAAAGGAGCAGCTATTCCCAGCTCTGCCAGGTCCAGGCAGGTGCTTCTCCTCTGTGCTGTGAGGATTCAACTCAGGGGCTAAAAAGTAAGCACAGGGAGGTGATATTGTACAACAACTTGAGAGCAAATTGGCTAGTGAATGTTTAACAAAGCTGCTCTCTGCAGCTCTGTGCAATGCACCTAAATGCTCTTCTTTAACCTCTCTACCCATACAACAGGCAGGATTCATGCATTCCCATGATTTCTGGGACCTCAGAAAAATGGAAGTCTCTGAAGACAAACCTAATTATTCTCCCGTCTCTAGAAGCACAGATTTCCTGGTATTCCATGCATTACCTCCCTGTTCGAGAAAACCTGGCCCATGGACAGCCCAGGACCACCTGGATGGATCTTGCCACTGATCTGAGCCTGCACATTCCTGCAGCTCCAGGTCCTGGGGGTTTGCCAGCTTTGGTGGATCTGCTCTTATGCAAGGGCAACACTACTCCCAGCGCCTGCTGCCTGATCTGGATCTTATTGCTGCACCGTGCGATCTTGGGCAAAAAAAATCATAGAATCACAGAATCAACCAGGTTTGAAAAGATCTTTAAGCTCATCAAGTCCAACCATTCTCAGCACTGCCAAGGCCGCCACTAACCCATGGCACTGAGGCCTCGTCTACACAGTGTGTGAACACTTGCAGGGACGGTGACTCCAGCGCTGCCCTGAGCAGCCTGTTCCAATGCCTGAGCACCCTCTGGGCAAGGAATTGTTCCTCAGCTCCAGCTAAACCTGCCCTGGGGCAGCTTGAGGCCGTTTCCTCTTGTCCTGTCCCTTTATACTTGGGAGCAAAGACCAGCCCCCTCCTAGCTCCATCCTCCTGTCAGGCAGTTGCAGAGAGCGATAAGGTCCCCCCTGAGCCTTCTCTTCTCCACACTAAACCCCCCAGGTCCCTCAGCCCTTCCCCATCACACTTGTGCTCCAGGCCCTGCTCCAGCTCCATTCCCTTCTCTGGCCCCGCTCCAGACCCTCACTGTCAATGTCTCTCTTGCAGTGAGGGTCCCAGAACTGCACACAGGATTCGAGGTGCAGCCTCAGCAGTGCCCAGTGCAGGGGGACAGTCACTGCCCTCATTCTGCTGCCGCACTGGTGCTTGATACAGGCCAGGATGCTGGTGGCTTCTTGGCTGACTGGGCACAAGCTGGCTTGTGTTCATCAGCTGTCAATCAGCACCCCCATGGGTCAGAAAACTGGGAATTAGGAATTCATGAGATGATACAGGAAGATGGGGAAGGGAAACGTGGTTACGCTGCACAGGAGTCTTGGCTGGAGGAAGAAGAGGGTTAATATGCAGTGGCAATGGTGGAAAACAGCACAAATTTGGGTTGTTAAGGCTCTTACCTGCTGAGATTTGAGGTTGGGAACCAAAGTTTAATGGCCCATAAACACCTATCATGCCCTGCTATTACAGACAAGCTGACTAAGCATTACTGTTCTAGTGTCTGTATTTAAATACTGTGAAAGAGAGGATACTTTTGAAAACTCATTGGTATCATTAAAAAGAATTAATCAGTATTTGAGATGCATTTCCTTGTCAAAACAAATTCACCTTTTCTGCTTCACCAAACACACAATCAGGGCTGTGGGCTCTTTTCCTGACAGCCCAGACAAAACTTTGGATGACTTGGAAACAAAAAGTCAGGAAAGAACACAACATTTTTGGGAAAACATTAAACAGAGGGAGAGGAAGCTTGTGCAGCCAGAAGACACGCTGGATGTTACTCACTTGAACAACTTCTTTTCTCAGAAAAGCATATTACCAGATTTTCTATGTGTGTATTTATTTCCAGTCTATAATTACCCTCCACAAGCATTTCTATGGAGTTAAATAAAGAACCAGCTACCCTACAAGCCTCCTACAGCATAATTCAAACGTACTGTCAGTGCTTAGCAACAGAGTCCTCCTTTCGGCAGCTGTGGCTTCAGCCTGGATGTACAACCCCTCCCTCCAAAAAACAACACATGCTGCTGGCCCATGCCCAAAATTCCCAAGCCAAGGGGAGCTGGAGAGCTGCAAGCATGTGCTGCATGGATGCACCCACACACCCGTGTGTTTTGGGGTCAGCATCACCCCAATGTGACAAGCATGGATGAATACATGAGGTTTTGGAGGGGATGGTCACAGCGTCCAGCCCCTGCTATGACAGGAAATGTCATGTCATCCCTTCCATCAATTCTTTGGGAAGTGGCTCGGCACCGCGCTAGTGTTGCTCTTCCCATCATGACATTTTATTCCCCCTAATCTCAGTTTTCTGCTCATTATAGATGTGCTATCTCAGTGCTTGCAGATGCCTTCTCTAATGATTTTTATGGAGCAACTTCATCAAAACGCCTCTCATCAGCCAGATTTCCCTTTTTTCCCCTCAATTATATACAGCCCTATAGCTTTACCTACATGGAGGAAAATGATTTGGCATTGCTCCTGGAAGGGGTGGGGGAACAGGCTTTTGTGGCTACAACAAAACCTCTTCCCCAGCTGCTTTGAGGATATATTATTTGAGGTGCTTCACCCTCCCTGGCTCAGCAAACACCACTTAAAATAATGATGTACTCAGTCTAAATGATTAACTGGGGAAAAACGAACTTCATGTGAAGCAATTTGCTGGCAGAAGCTTGGGTAATGTTTTATCCCATAGTTACCTATTTTAAAAGCACAAGAGTGTAGCCAGAAGAGCTAGTGAGACGTTACCTTGGTGCTTTCCTCCATGTCCTTTGAGTTGAGGAGCGCGTGGTTAATTCTGAACACTATCCAGTCGAACAGGGCACTGTATAATGACTTAGCCATAGAGTTCCTCACAGTCACAGCCTGAAAGAGAGAAGAAAAGAGGTAATTGGAAATGATTCCTGCTCTGCACTAAAATGGGTTTTGCTTCTCAAGCTCCCACATCCAACGTTCATATTTCTCCCTCGCCAAAGCTTTTGTCTACTACTTGAATTCACACACCATAAGCCAGCAGTCCTGACACCACCAGGAGTTGATTGAAATCCCAGGCCCAGGATATGTGCCCCTGACTTTGCCTCACTTTCCTTTGGTGCATTCAAGCGGATGATGCACAAGATCACACCATAAATCCCACCACTGTCAGTGAAAGGGAAAAAAAACCCCAAACATATATATATTTAACATATAAATTTAATTTCATCAGGAACCTGGAAGAGTTTATTCAGAAGGCAAGAGGAGGGTGGACATTGCAGAGCAATGACAGCAAGAGATAGGGAAGCACCTGCTGGGTCAGGCAGTGCCTGGTACAAGCAGAAGGGTTACAAAAGGGAAGGCTAAAACCCCTATAGTAAATCTATGAGCGTTACTGAAAACATGACGTTTTCCAGGTACTGCCAATGGGAGCTACAAATCAGAGCAGGGAGATTCACTGCTCCTCCAACAGCTCTCCTGGAAAGAAGAATAATACCTCTGAAAAAGGGCCAAGCCTACCATGGTGCTCCCAGCCACTACACAAAGAGATTTTGCTTGATCAACAGTGATGAAAACCAAGATCAAATGAGGGTACCCGGGTGTCAGTATCCCAAACACGCCTGTCTGGGGACAGGCACCTACACATGTAACTATAAAGCAGTAATTCATATTTAAGGGCTATCTTGGTTCTTACTATTTGTGATCAGCAGGATGAGAGCGCTGGGCTGGGTCAGCTGGAGAAGAGAAGGCTCCTGAAGGGGACACCTTAGAGTAGTTCCAGGGCCTAAAGGGGCTCCAGGAAACCTGGAAAGGGGCTTTGGACAAGGGCCTGGAGGGACAGGACAAGGGGAATGGCTTGAACCTGCCACAGGGGAGACTGAGATGAGCTCTGAGGCAGAAGCTCTTCCCTGTGAGGGTGCTGAGGTGCCGGCACAGGGTGCCCAGAGAAGCCGTGGCTGCCCCATCCCTGGCAGTGTTCAAGGCCAGGTTGGACATACATCATCTGAGTGGCCTAATTTCACTGACCCCAAACAAAATAAAGCTCCTGTGGCATCGTTTATCTTCTACTAGCATTTTCCACTTCTTTTCTCTTGAACTTTCTGTGCTGGCACCTTCTAGCATGAACACAAGCTGTTCTGCCAACACTTTCTCTCCCTCTTGAGTTGCAGGAGAAGGCAGGAACATGGTCCACCCCTGAGGATCCTTACAAGCTCACAGTGCACATAAGCCTTTGTGTGCTGCTAACCATGGCTCAGTGGCAATAAAACACTGTCCGATAAACCACAGTGCAAGGATAATTCCAAACTATTGCAACAGTTAACAAAGAATTACTCGTTTGCTCCCAGAAAGAATTGCTACGAACACAACCCAAGCGTGTGATGGAAATGCACAAGCAAGAGGATGAAAATGATTTGTTACAGCCTTTAAAAGACTGAGTGCGAGTTTTGAAATGTCTGAGTTACCAACAAGCATTGGAAAACGGATGCATTTAGGAATGCAAATAGATCTCATTTCCAGTAACTGGTTTTCTTTGCTTTGCTGAAGGAAAGATTTTGGAGAAGGTTTGTTTGCTGGTTTCATTACAAGCAACATGGGCTGTTTGGGATGATTTTGCTGTTGTTTTTATTTTTCACATTTTATCAAAATCTGAGGGAATATTTCAGTGATTAATAGAAAATTTCATAACCCCTTCTCTATGCCCATGCTCTAGCTCAGCTTAATGTGAATGGATAAAGCTGGGAAATAATCAGTGCCACTGTGACACCCAAAAAATCAGA